AGTGGAACAACCCAAATGTCCATCAGCTGATGCATAAACAAAATATGTTTGTTCAATGAAATATTACTTGGCGATAAAAAAGAGTGAAGTAACGATTCATGCTGTACCCATGGGTGCAGCGGGAGAAGCCAGATACTGAAGGCCCCACATTAGAGCATTCCGTTTGTAGGAACTGTTAGCACAGGCAGCTCTCTCGAGACAGAAAGTAAATGAGTGGTTGCCTGGGGCTGGGAGAGATGTGGGGAGCTGAGCCTGCTAATGGAAACAGGTTTCTCTGTGGGATGATGAAACTGTTCTAAAATTAGACTCTGGTGATAGTTGCACAAGACTGAGGTGCTAACTAAAAACCACTGAGTTGTGTGCTCTAAATGAATGAACGGTATATGTGACATATATCTCAAATTATTTTTAAAGTTAGCACAAGGGGCCAGAAAGCATAGCATAAAATACTATCTAAACATTCACCATACACGTATAACACAAACATGTTTTCCCTGAATAAAATTTTTCACATGGCATCATTTAATAGGAAAACCTTTAAAATGTGGTGCAAACAGCTCATTCAGTGCATTTTTATTTTCTCTCAGAGAAAAAAAACTATAGATACACCTTTTAGCCCAGTAATTCCTTTAATGAGGAAATTGTCATGGCCATGTAAACATCTTAAGCTAAAGATGTACATTTCAGGATTGCCCAGAATAACACTTTTCATTAAATATTAGTTGAATGGTGACCTTGTAATGCCCATACCACTACGTTAAAATTTTCTCATTTCCCTGCAATAACCCGATGGAAGTTTGCCAGACACTGTGTTCCTTCTTCCTGGGAGAAGGTGCCAGTCAAACAGCTGCAAATCAGAACTGGATTCATCCAGCTGCGCCTTATCCTTTTCATGTCTTTATAACACTCCGTGTATATTCATGGTCCCGTTGGAGAAATGTAGACCACTGCCACGCCCCAACTGCTCTAAGTAATGCTACTGTGAACATCATCATCCATTTCCCTTAACCATTTATATGTGATTTATTTGATTTCACTTTTTGACCCTCTCTTCTGACAACTACCAGTCTGCCCTCTGTCCACAAGCTTGTGGGGTTTTTAGAATCCACAAGTACGTGAGTTCATAAGTTACTGGTCTTTCTATGTCTTATTTCACTTAGCGCCCTGTGGTCCATCCATGTTGCTCTAAATAGCAAGATGCCGTTCTTTGTTGTGACTATATAATATTCCACTGTGTCTATATACCTTCTCTTTATCTACTCAGCTGTGGATCGACACTTAGGTTGTTCACATGTCTTGGCTTTTTAAAATAATGCTGTAACTGCATGGGGGCACATATGTCTTTTCAAATTAGTGTTTTTTGTCTTCAGCTGAATACTAGAAGTGAAATTGCTGCATCATCTCGTAATTCTACTTTTAAATTTCTGAGGAAGCTCCATGCTATTTCTATAATGGCCACACCAGTTACTATCTCTCAAACTGTGGGTTTCCTTTTCTCTATATCCTCACCCCAAATTACACAATTTTAAGGTGGAAAGATGGAGATGGAGTGAGCTCGAGGGGCTCCACGCCTCTCCCACAGTTTGGGGCAGGAGGGGAGCAGCCCCAGCTGAGCCGTTCACCTCCTGCCCCTTCCTGCCCGCGGGGAGACCAGGACACTCCTCTTCCTGCAGGTTTCCTGCAATCACTCATGATTTGTGAAGAACGACTTCGTTTTCTCACAGAGGAAGTTGTCTTCAGAGTTTTACAGAGAGTGACAAAGCAGTTAGTCAATTAGGACGCATGCAAGCGTGCTGGGAGTAACAGAACTGAGGAAACAGAGCCACAGGAGCAGGGAGAACTGAGCGCAGGGCACCCTGCCGAGCCCCTCCTCTGGGAATTCCAGGCGCCCTCTGAGCCTGTGAGGTGGCACTTCAGGGCTGAGGGACCTGAGGGAGGGGCAGCGTTTGCAGGCACGCGCGTGAGTGCACACACACAGGAGAAGCAGGCCGTTCACTGGCCATACACCCCTCAGCTCCAGCCTGCCCGGCTCGGTGGGAACCTGCATGAGCCCACCCTTGACTCCCGCCACCCTCTGTCCCAATAAGGCGGATGTCACTGTACCCCCTAGAGGAGAAATTCTCATGCAAGGAGAGGAGGGAGCGCTCCTGGAAGGAGAGGCGAAGGGGAGCCCACGCCTGCCAAGGGTCATCACCCAGAGCCACCTCCTCTGACCCTCAGGCCCCAGGGAAGAGCTGGGGGTCTCCTGAGACAGCCAACTTTGTGTCTTTGTGTCGGAAACCAGCCTGTCTGCTGCCTGGCTCAGAGGCAGCTTCTTCTTCTTTTTTTTTTTTAAAAGATTTATTTATTTATTCATACAGAACTGGGGTACAGGCCAGAGATGCGGAGGGTGAAAGGATTCACCAGAGACAGAGTGGGGAGCAGAACAGGCAGCCCGATGAAGTACACTGCTGAGGGGAGCAGCGGGCGGGTCAGGAGAGGTCTGCAGAGGCAGCTTCTTATTCTTAGTGGGAGAAAGCTCGAGAGTGCCTTCTCCTGGGACACACTGAGTGTCCATCTCAAGCAAGTGTCATGTCTGTGTGTGTTTCTGAGTGTGTGTGTGAGGATGTGTGTTTGGTGTGCGCATGAGTGTGTGTCTGTCTCTGAGGATTTGTGCGCTTGTGGGAGTGTGTTTCTGAGTGTGTTTGTGTGTGTGTGAGTGCGCATGTCCCTGTGTGTGTGGGTGCGTGTCTGGAGGAGTGTCTGAATATGTGAGTGTCTGAATTATGTTTGTGAGTATGTCTCGGTGTGAGGGTGTGTGTTGTGTGTAGCTGTGTGCGGTTGTGTCTGTTTCTACCTGTGTGTGCTGGTGTGAGTGTTTCTGAGTGTGGAGTGTGTGTCTTTGTCTTTCTGCCTGTGACTGAGTGTGATTATCATGTGCTGGGCAGGAGCAGGCTGGGCTCTGTGGTGACAGTGATGGTTAACTGAGGTCAGGGCACCTCCAGGAAGAAAAAGTTGTGGCCAGCAATTGTGGTTTTGCCCCAAACTATTTTTAAAGTTAAATAAATAAGCATAAGCAGTCAGCCGGAAGCCCCCGGTTCTTTAGTAACTCGGGCGGACCTGGATGACCCGTGGGCAGGGCTGAGGGCTACTGCTGCGGGGCAGGCTGACCCCAGCCTGCAGCCGGCCTGAGGCCCCGTGGGGTGGGCAGACTCCTGGGCGAGAGGGCCTCGTCCCCAGACATCCTCACAACAACCGTGCGAGGTGTGGCTGCGACCCGCGTACAGGCTGGGTCATGTCATCGTCCCCAGTGCCAGGCCCCTTGCCCACGGCCACTGCGGGTGCACCCTGCCCCGAAAGACCCTCAGTAAGTGCTCTGCACAGCACCCCGTTCTTTGTCTCCAGTCAAGGGCTTCGGAGTGAGGGCTGAGAGGGCTGTTGGCTTGTTTACCCACAGATGTTCCATGAAGAACGTGGTTTCCTTCAGCAAGATCGATTAAACAAAGCCCTCGAAGAGAGAGGAGCGTTCTCTAGGCCATCTTGTCACGCCCACCCACGCCTGCCACCACTTCCTCAAGTCAGCAGTGCCAGCTTTCTATGGCTGTCAAGAATGCCACAGACATCAGAGTCCCCATCCTCAAATCCATGCCCCCCCAGCCCCCAACTGGGGAAGGGGACACAGGAGCACCCCTCAGCCATCCCTGAGGTGGCCTGCTCGGTCTGCAGCTGGGAGCACTGGGCCTTGGCCTTGAGTTTGCACGCGTGCATAAGCATGTGAGGTGTATAACCATACAGGCGTGTGAGAACGAGCATGAACTAGGCGCGCACGTGTGTGTGTGTGTGAGCGTGAGTGTGCTGGCTTGTACACACGTGTGAGAATGTGTGCGTGCGAGCGATGTGGGCATGTGCGTTGTGTGAATGTCTGCATACGTGTGTATGCTCTCAAGACAACGAACATCAGTGGGTCTCAGAAGAGCTGACCCCTTATCAAAGGAGAGGGAGACTCGCGGGCACAGGGACTCAGCGTGGGGTACAGTTCCCCCCACTGTCTGAAAGCAGAGTGTTCCTACTTGCTATGTCATGTTTATTTTGGGTCTGGGAATTGCCACTGATTCCTATAGAACTCTGTCTTAGCAGTAGGTCCGATGCTCCCAGGAAGAGGTTGGCCATAGGCCTAGAACCATCCATTCCCCACCCCAGGTCCAGGGAGACACAGACTCAAGCCCAGTCGCCTGAGGCCACAGGCTGGCTTTGCCCTTGCACGAGACCTGGCCTGGTCCAGGGACTAAATTTCCTTCTTTTTTTCTCTCTGTCTTCGTCGTGGGGACAGTCACATCAGCCAGTGACAGAGCTGCTGTGAGCAGCTGATGAGGGAAAACGGCACACTCATGCGTGTGTCCACGTCCCCAGCCTTCCCTGATGGCAGTGGGGCAGTGGGTCTGGGCTGGAGGTGGAGGTCACCGGCAGAGGAAGGGCCTGTTTCCCCCCGCACGCCCCTCTCCCTCACTGAGCCCATGACCCGATTCCACTGAGCAGATGGCCTGGGCCCTTGCTGGCCCTCCTGGAATGCGGAGCCCCTGGGGCCTCAGAGAGGACAGGCCTGGCCAGCCGGCGGCCAGCAGCTTGCCTTGGCTCTGCTGGAGCAGCTCCTTGCATTTCTGTCCTCTTCCGCTTGGGCGACTCTGTCCAGCCCTGTGTTCACCGACAGCCAGGACATCTGGCTGTGGCCGGAGCAGCGGGGTGCGGCTGCGGCCCCACCTCCCCTGAACTCCCTCCCAGAGGACAGTTCTGACACTATCAGTCCCTGGCTTCCCTTGACATCCTAGCCAAGACAGGAGACCTCACTTCACGGATGAAGAAACCGAGGCCTAGGGAGACACGCACTTGAGACACAAGGTGATCCGACCTGAGCCCCCACATGCAGGGCGCCCCCAGGGCCCTGGCCCCGAGCATGGGTGAGGTTGCAGGGCCTGTGGGGCGGGATGGCCTGGGGTGGGCTCTGAGCACACTCTCTCCTCCAGGGCGGCTCCGCGCTGTCCCCGGCCGCGGTCATCAGCCCAGAGAGGGCTCAGCAGCAGGCGGCTGCTTTGGCAAAGGACATCGGCTGCCCCACCTCGTCCATCCAAGCAATGGTGTCCTGCCTCCGCCAGACGCCCGCCGGCACCCTCAACGACGCCCAGACCAAGGTGTGCATGTGTGTGCCAGGCAGGGTGGAACTTACAGGCCAGCCATGGCCGCCCGCTGGCCAGCGGCTGGCTGGAGCTGGGCACACGTTCCTAAGCCCTGTGGGGCAGGGCCCCGGCACGAGACCACAGCAGGCCGGCCCGACTCTGCAGGGCGGATTTCTCTGTCAGGTGGGACTAACGCGCGATCCTGACAGAGGAGGATGAGGCGTTGCACAGGAAAGGGCTTGCCTGGGCCAGGGCTGGGGGCGCAGGGTCTGGCGATGCTCCTGGCCCTGCCCCCTCCAGAGAGGACAGCTGTGTGCTTCCTCTTTTGTCCTGCGAAGTCCAGCAGGGTCTCCTCCAGCCTTTCTCACACCCTTCCAGATCCATGCTTTCCCACTGTTGCAGAGAGGTTCTAGAAAGTTCCCCTGGAGACTAACCAGTGCTCAGAGCAAGCCTGGCCTCCCAGCCCTGGCCTGCCTGCCCTCTCAGAGGGATGCCCAAGCTCTTGTCCATTGTGACTGACACTGGCTCAGCGAAGCAGTGCTGCTGATTGTTCTAGAACCACTGTTATAAAGCCCACACAAACCACAGGCTGCCTTTCCTTGCTCAGCTCCTGGCGGTGAGCGGCCCTTTCCACTACTGGGGGCCGGTGGTCGACGGCCAGTACGTCGTGGAGGCCCCTGCCAGAGCCCTGCAGAGGTCCCCGAGGGCCAAGGTGGATCTGCTCACTGGGACGTCCCAGGACGACGGGCTCATCACCAGAGCGAAGGCCGTCAAGGTAGGCAGGCAGCTCCGCCGAGGCCTGGCCTTGCTCAGGGTCCCAAGACAATCCCTGACAGCCTGCCCTGTGCAGGGGCTCTGGAAGGAGTTTGGGGTGATGATGTGATGTGGGGGTGTGGGGGGGTCAGGAACAAGCCCACCGGCGTCGCGTGGGGACCGACCTGCAGACCAAGGGCGGATCCCTGGCCCTACGGCCCCCTCCATGAAGGGTGCTCGTCCCTCAGAGAGCCGGCAGGGAGGGGCGCCCAGCCCGCGGGGCTGCCTGAGCACGGGGCTTCCTACCGGTGTCCTGCCCGGGGGAGCAGGGGCCGTGCACCCAGCCACAGCGCTTGCTGAGGCCCTAGGAGACACGGCAAGCTGGAGGAAGCGGGAGCCCTGTTATCGGCCTGAAGCACACTTCCCGCTCGGCTGCCGGCCCCCGCTAGCATGGGTCTGGGCAGGCCCAGCCCTCCGTGTCCCGGGACGCTTTGGGTGTCCAGCCTGGGACGGTGCCCCAGGACACGGAACAGGAGGGACACACCCTCCTCGCAGGTGCCCCAGGGCACAGGGCGCGTCACCTCCTGCGGCCAAGAGGAGCCTGGCCGGGGCTGGGACCCCTCCACGAGGCACTGGCGTTCCGCTCACTGCGTCGCCCCGTGGGGCTCCCAAAGGACGCCCTGACCCACTTGCAGGCAGGGTGATGGCTGCCAACGGGCGCTCCCCACCCAAGCCAGGGCGTGGCAGGGAGAGCGGCCCTCCAGCCAGCCCGGGCAGCAGGCGGCTGTGTGAACCCCCTTCCGCCGTGTCACCCCAGCCGCAGGCCCAGCCACTGCTCCCTCTCCGCCCTTGGCTCGCCACCGATTCACGCCTCTTCCCTGTGGACATGCCTCTGTGCTGCTGGCAGGCCTGCCAGGCGCTGACCGGAGCGGAATCGAGAGGCAGGAGGACACGGCAGGAGGTGGGCGGCCAGCCCCGCCCTGAACGTGTCCTCGAGCTCCGGCTCCGTCTCCTGCACAGCCCAGCATCACACCCCTGCCAGACCGTCCCTCGGTGCAGCCCTGGCGGCTTGGCCTGCCCACCAGGATGGCCTCACTCTCCACGCCCCAGAGTGAGCTGCCGTGCACTGCTGAGCAGTGGCCCCGGGGTGCTCCCCGGCCACCCACGCTCGGGCTCCTCTGCAGGGCGTTCTGACCTCTGTCCTCTCTCCCCTCTCCTGGCCTCTCCTGCCTCTTCCTCGGCCACAGGACAGGTGTGCTGGCCCTGACTGTCACCCCCACGATGAGAACCACTGTGGCCACAGCAGCCACTTTGCTCTACACAGAGGTCTCGTCCCACGCAGGGCAAAAACCACATTCCTCAGTGGCCTCCAAGCCCCACGGATGCTACCCCCATGTCTCTGATCTCATCATCTACCCCTTGGCTCACTGTGCTCTGGCCCAACAGCGCCCTTGGGTGTTCCTCGTGCAGGCCCAGCCCACTCCCAGTGATGCAATGCGACACGCCTTCCCTCTTCTAGAATGTTCCCCTGGTCACTCGCTTCCTTCAGGGTCCTGCCCCCGGCCAGCACCCTCCTGGGTCAAGGTCCCCTCCTGCCTTTCTCACGCCCTTCCGGGCTCTTGCTTACCCATCCTTTCTGTGGATCACACCTTGACGCTGGTTTCCTATTCTGGAATGTTCTTTCCCTGATGACCCGCTGCCTTTGGTGTCTGTTTCCTTAGAGAGAACGTGCCGGCCACCCCGAAGGGAAGGGCAGCGTGTCCCCGGACTCCTCTCCCTGTCTCCTGCCCCCCAGCCCCCTCACACACGTGTCGTGTTTTCTTTCCCAACTAGGGTAACTAGGGTGTGAGCCCCCCACAAGACTGTGATTATTTGCCGTATCTCCAGTGCCTGGAAAGTGCCTGGCACTCAGTGGCTATCCACTGGTTTGGTACGAGGAGTTGCTGGGAACAGACAATACACCAGGGTCTAAGTAGGCGTCTCCCAGGGAGCAGCTCCCCTCGGACAGCTGCCCGAGCACGGATCCCCATCGCTAGCTCTTAGATGGGGAGCCGGTTTGGAAAGAAGCCAGGGCTTGCCAGACAGGCGGCGTCTACAGGTGTCCTTCCTCCAGGCCAGAGCTCGGGGAAGGCTGACCCCGCTGTGTGACGCAGGGGCGTGACCGCAGCTCGGGAGGCCGGGCTCTGCCCAAGGGCTTTGCAGTTCCTCCCACATCCTTCAGCTCAACCACAGCGAGGGAGGCAGCCGCCCAGGGACTGGCACGGAACGCACCGAGGAAGGGGCTCGAGGAGTCCGTGCTGGCCCACGGCCCCCTCGCTGGCCATCCGCAGAGCCCAGGCTCCACTGCAGGCTCTCTGGCTCCAGAAGGGGCGCTTTGCCCGTGTGTATGCTGACCTCGGTCGCCAGGACGGCCCCGGGCACCCCAGGCCCCTGCCAGAGGTGAGCCCAGACCAGAGGACACGGCAGAGCCAGCCCAACACAGAGCACCGCGGTGGACCCTCAGGCCTGATCAGGCTGCCAGCTGCCCAGGGCAGGTCGAGCTGCTGTTTACTCCCGAGCACCCTGCCCGGCGCACGCGGTGCCCTGCCCCGCCCTCACCAGCTCAGGCCCCACATTCAGAATAGGTCTGCGGCTTTCTCCACGTCCCACCTACCACTAGCAGAGGGGGCCGGGCTGGCACACACCCAGAGGCCCTCAGCCCTGCCTGCCCGCTGAGCCCCCTGGCTTCCCCCGCTCCTCTGTGCTGAGAAGCAGGACACAGCAATGCAACAGGCACCACATCCGCCCGGAGCAGGCAACGGCGTGTCCTCCCGGCCCCGAGACCAGCCTGCCCATCAGTGCCACCACGAGGTGACCCCGTGTGCCAGACTCTGCCTCAGGGTCTGGGCGTGAGTAAAGTCAGACTCAGCCCTCAGGAGCTCCTGGTCAGGAGAGGAGGTGACCCCGCGTCAACTAGAAGGCAGAGACGCATGCTGAGAGGGGCCTTCCTGCGGGTCGTGCGGCCAGAGGGGCCGGACCTCTCCCGCACTGTCAGCGGAGACGGCGCAAGGACGAGGGGCCGGCAGGGCCCCGTCCTCCAGCCTGGGCAGCAGCCTGGGGACAGTGTCCTTGCATTCTCGTCTGGAGCCTGTCAGTCCCCAGAGCCTGC